TATATATATATATATATATATATATATATATATAATAAATACAAAACAAACTCCTTCTTTGAAAACACCTCTTTGGTTGTGTTATATCCATGGGAATATCCTTCCCCATCGGAGTATTTAATTACATTATACATCCGAATAGAATCTTTGTCTTCCATCCCTTCACATAGTAATAAACTGACTAAAGACTCTGGACATTTCAAAAAGAGGATCTCTTCTTGCACCATACCCATATTGAGCACACCACCGCCAATATACTTATTAGCAAAGTCCGCCTCAAGTGCTCCCTGTTTATCTTCAATAACACCGACATCATCGACTTCGACATTCCCAACGACTTTCACTTCACTTCTTGCGAAGTCAAATTTTTTCACAACATTTCTTTCAACCACAACAATTTCATCTAAAACTTTAGACTGTTTCAAATTTTCAATTTTTGTGGAATCCACAGTGGAGTCCAGTTTTGCTATTTCGTCGTCAAGTGCCGTGTCGTCCTTTGAGAATCGGAGAATGCCGTCAAAGTAAGCGATGTACGCACGAAGCTTTGTCGCCTGCACTTTCCCGCCAAAGAAGACGATTGGGAATATTGAGACGTCTCTGAAGGTCTGGGGAAGTGTATAGAATCCCAAAAGCGACAACGCAAGAAGCCCCGCCACCTGGCGACGGGTCAATTCCACAACGCCTTTTGTAGTCATTTTAAGTTGTGGAATTGGTGACTGAATATATTTCAATGATAATATTGCAAGATCAAAAATGACTGGGAGTGTTATTGTTGTGAAGTGTTTGGTCTCCTCAGTTGAAAGATTTTTTAAGACACGAATGAGTTGACAAGAGCCTTGTGTACTTGTCAAAATTTGAGTTAAAGAACCAATAGAACTCTTTGAGGTTTTTAGTGTGTTGATTATTGCTAACACTTTTGGAAACAGATTGGGAGAACCTGGGTGTGGCAACGTATTCGAAGGAACAGCTACAGAAGATGGAACTACTTCCACTTCATCGTGAAAGATTTCACTTTTGTAAATTTGTGAAGAAGACATATTATTTATTGTTAGTTTCGTGTTTATTTGTATTTGATTGTATGAGGCTTGTCTGTATATTATTTAGAAGAGTTTATATTAATAGAAACCAATTATTCGAAATATAAAAATTAACCATTTTATTAATTGCCAAGCTTCAAAATGTGGATTTAAATAATAAAACTATCTTATTATAATTATTAATAATAATTTGATTGTTATAATGTCGGCTTTAAAACATGAACATGTAATATGCACGGTATTGTTAAAACTATTTATATACTACACATTTTATATATATCATAAATTAACAGCCAGAACCTTTTTCATTTTTGTAAAGTCATGTTCGCCCACAAATATTGTTCTTCTTGTTTCTAAGCTTTTACTTCATATTTTCTTGAGTTGGAGTAATTAAATTATGTTTTGAGAAACAATTTAATAACAAATTGTAATCGTCTGATACTCCACATCACTTGAGGCACTTAATGGTAACTTGCTATTGGTTCTAAATATTCTTTTATTGTTTTAGTAGAATGTTTGCTAGTTCAACAAATTTATAAATCATTTTACAACAACACAGTAACAACTGTGTTTAATATAATCAATTATGTCTGTTTTTGTGAAAGTATCAATTAAAGATCAATAAAGTAACCCAAACTTGAAACATCTTTTTTGTATTTATAATCCAATTAATAATGAATCAACGTCGTCCCAAATAGTGATTTGAAGAGCTAATACTTTATCAGGTTATCATTATACGGTTTATAATAATTCATGTGGTTTGTTTTGTTGCAAGTTGACGATGCAAATAAGCAAAACCCCATCTTAAAACAATACAGATAAACTGAATTATGTTGTGTTT